CTTAATTGTCGCAATAACATCGCGTGTGGCTCTATTGGCCGAGATGAAGGAGGTGTATATTGTGTATTGTAAAATATTTTGTTTGACTGTGTGTTTTGTGTCATGGATATAAAACAATTTTATATTTATAATTTTTTTTCTATATAAAGTGATATTCCGGTAAGATAAAAATTAAAAAAAACCTTAAAAATATTTAAAACCGAAAAATTATGTAAATTAAAGCTGGTTTATACTGGCCGTAACTTTTTGCTGTAACCGTAAATTTAAGGATTCAACCAATCGCGTTGCCGAATCAAGCAACACGATTGGTTGAATCCTTAAATTACGGTCACAGCAAAAAGTTACGGTCAGTATATATACCAGCCTTTACTGTTCTGTATTATTCTGACAGCAAACAAGCTAAGAAACGTTCCAGCGCTACATGTCGACATTATGAAAATAGAACAATAATATATTATAGACATAAAAACATTAGAAATAAGCACGATACGAACTTAAGTCAGGATAATATTACACTTCTTCTGTTTGGAACGCGCGGACGACGGTGAGATCACGCAGATAACACGTGCGAAAAACAGCGGCAACAAGCGTGAAAACATAGTGAGGAACGTTCGGTAGAAATCGTTTGTTTTCAGAAGCAAATTTTGGATTAGGACATAGGAAGAAGAGACGATCGCGGACACTTCGTCTTCAACAGTCCCCGAGATATTTTATAGAGCATTACATTGTAATTGAGTTGTAATTGACTGCGGCCGACGCGATTAAGATTTGCTTGTTCTACAATAAATCTTGTCATTTTCAAGAATCGAATATTTTTTTTTGAGTTTGTCTGAGCTTAGTGTGCCCAGAAGTTTCCTAACGACCAACAGTCCGCAAAATAAATAAACGTGAGCGGAGACGGGCACTTGGAGGTCACAGCTTTAAGCTATATCTTCCTTCCTTAATTAATTAGTAATTATAATTGATAATAATAAGCCGAAAAGATCAATCGATTGTTTCAGAAATATAATAACTTGTGAAAAAATCTTATCTATGTATCAATAATAACAAATATTATACAGGATGTCTTAGACCACCCGTACATGCGCTAAATATTTTGAAAACTGAGCACGACAGATAAAAATATTTTAAACAAAAGTTGTAGGGGTTTAACAAATACATAAAATGATGATAAATATTTGACCTTGGCAGCAGTTATGAAAGAAGTCTCATGGTTAACTTTAAAATCGTTTTCAAAATATTCGGCATGTACGGGTGGTCTGAGATACCCTGTATTTCTTAATAGCAAATATACTATAAAATACGGATGAGTATTTTTTATTTTATGCGTGGATTAATTCATTAGATATATGAATTCTTTTTTTAGTAGCTATGAGTACAACAAAGAAAACAAAAATTAAAATAATTTTAAAGAAAATAAAAGTGAATTTCTACATAAATTAGAAAAAAACTACATTAACTATCAACATTTGGAAATTAATGCATGAACTATATATTTATGCCAAAATATATAGTTCAATTCAAAAAATCAACTGTAATAATTTTTATGTCAGTGAATAATTTTTATTTTTTTAACCCTATTTCTTTTTCAAAAGTCTATTTTATTTTTTTTATAAATTATATTTGCATTTTTACGATTCATACAAAATACAATCATATGTTGAGAGATCATAGATTTGTATAATATAGACAAAGCGCTCCCGAGGCTTAAAGACAACATTATATTATAATGACACAGGACAATGTAGTAAAATGCTTTCCTAGTCCGATTGTGCAGTTTTGTTGGGAGGACGAAAGAGGAGAAATAGCTATGTCATACTTTTCATTTTTCTCCTATATCACCTTTTCCCAGAGCATTGTGTGACGGAGAAAGCATCTTACCGTGCATCTCATCTGTTCATCAATCTTCTCATCAGTGCACTATCGCGCACGCGCGCGCATATACACACACACAAATGCGCGAATATTCAATTTTTTATATGTATAAATAAGTCTATGATTGTAATATAATATTTTGATATTTATACAATATGAATTTATTTAATCTTATTCATTCAGACTTAAGAATAATGCTTGAGGAAAATATTTTAAAACTTATAGTTTAGGTTTATAGGTTATAGAAAAAATTGATTATAACATATGTGTTATATAGTCTTAAAAGGGATCGAACAGTTTAAATAAAAAAAATTACTTTATTACTATGTTCTTCTAACTTTAAATTAATATATAAAGTGCATATCTAGATAATCGCGCGAGATACATACATATATATAATTAAGTATCGCAATTTCTATAGAGGAAGACAAAGTGCGCAGCACATTATTTCATTCTGCAGATATATGCTATTAGAAAATATTAGAGCAAAGATTATTTATTATTATATAGAAAAAAATGTTATAACAAAAATATGTAGTTTTAAAAGTTTTACAATACACTTTGACTGTAATAAATTGTAAAATATATCAATCTTTTTCTTAAAAACATGTGTTAAGGTTTAGTCCAACAAAAAAAATACAATAATTTTTAAAAATACATATAAACTGTTTTTTTTTTTAAATAATAAACTATACTTTTTTTTACAGAAAAATAATGGTACAAATAAAAAAGTTACACTTGTAAAAGCATATAAATTCGGCGCAAGCAAATAATTTATTTTTGTTTTTTATAGTTACTTTCTATTGCTATAATTAATTATGGAATAAGCATGTGATCTTAGAATATGTAAATTACACCACAATATATTGACTTCAAAATATATTTTATAATTAATCTTATGTATGCAATTTTTAATCGATTTGATACATATTTCGAAATATTTATACTGCTTATACTTATCGTTAGCAATACAAATAGTTAGCAATATACAATAATTTTTTTTACAAAAAGGCCTATTATAGTATCAGATAAAGATATACTTTAATATACTTATAATAATCATTGGATATAAAACTTTGTTCGTTAACCATTTTTACACATTTTTAACAGGATCAATTAATTAGAAATAATATAACTGTTTTTATTGTTGCACCATTATTCTAAATTTTGGTCACTTATCGCAACTTTTGAAGTAAAATAAATTACAATTTTAATATACCCATTTTCTTTCTTATATGTATAAGCTGTATACACACAATATATACACATTTATGTGTATACCTAATACATACATATGCTGTATATACACACGTGATTAAATTATTTTTACTTTAACTCTTATAATTTAATAACAATTATTAACTTTTACAGGAAAGTTAAATATTTAAAAGCCTTTATCCAGTTAGCCAAATCTGTTTAAACAGATTTTGCCAAGTGCCTGCTACAAATTGTTATCAATAAAAGATTACAAATTTGGTACAGGAGCTATTATTATCGATTAAGTAAAAAGATTGGTTGCAAAAACCGAGCAAGATTTGCTACCATATGATCTAATGTCGGATTGGTAACAATCATGTAATGATGAGGTCTCTTATTCTCATCGTGCGCTTGTACTCGCGCGAATAGGCCGATCTTTTTGCGATTAAGTCTGTCCTTATCAGATGGAACTACGATTATGTCTGTCGCCTTATCAGTTTAATAAAGAATTTACTAATTTTTGGGGGTTTTTAACATAAAATCGGGCATTCTTACCTTTATTGCTGTCATTTTCATCGTGAAAAAACATTTAATATTCTATCGAATTAATAAAAAGATTAGTATGTATAAAAATTATTATATACTTTGTTGGTAAAACAGGAAGGTTCAGTAATCAATTTATATTATTTTATTTAAATAGCTTGAATTTGCAAATCGTGCTTGGTTTTGCTGCTAATCTACGCACAGATTCTACTCATTGTCAGTTCTGTTCACCATTTTACTGTCGCATTTTACGTCTTATATCAGCAGATTCTGTCAGTAAAACATACAAGATGCAGTCGATCTACTGCAAATTTATGATTGAATTTGCTATCTATTTGCTGACATATTGCACACTCAATAGAAAAAAAGTCTTATATATTATTGTTTGTATATAAATTAATTATAAAATTTATAGCAAATTTTAAAATGTTACATACATTCTGTATTTATTATAATTATATATTTTAAACTTAAATAAAAATATTTGTTTACCCAACATGCATAAAAACATACGCAGAAGAGATGCATATACGCACGTATGCACACATTCATACATATTTGCGCGCGTGTGCAAATAATTTCATATAATTATAATTTTTTGAACAATTAATTTGTTACTTTTAATTCTTATTTATATATCCTATGTTTATTTTATTTTTGATAATTTGTATAACATAACTGATATTCTATATATAAGTATAATAAAATAGTAAAATATTATATATATATATATATATATATATATAAAATTTTCAATTACTCATATTTAAAAAAATCAAATCGTAAGAAAGATAAGATTAAGATTTTTCTTTTTTTACTATAAATATAGTTTTTTATGAAAAAATTAAACGATTTGTATTAATAAAAAAAAAACACACGCACGCAACACACAATACACAAATAAAAACGCATATATATTAAAATTAATGTTAAAAAGAGATTTTTTCCTTATTTAATTTGTAAGATTTAATTTAAATTTAAATTTATTGTTAATTACAAGGTAATTGACTTTGAGAATCAAAATATAATTATAAAATAAAATGATTTTCACACATTTTTAATTAAAATTTCAATAAAATTTTAATTAAAAAATTGAGAAAAAACAGTTTCTCAAATAAGAAAATAGTTTATATAGTTATTTTATCATTTATTACGAACAATTTATTAATTGCTTTAACTATTGCCGATTATTAATAATCACATATAGTTACAATTTATTATAGATTACAATTTACAACAAATAACTTTGATATTCTTACAAATAAAGAATAAAGATGAGAGAAAGAGAGATGATATAAATTTTTTATTCTTTAATAATTGTAAGAAAGGGGAAAATATCTTTATATATATATATATATATATATATATTTATATGTATATATGTAATATGTGGATGTATTTATAATACAATAAAATGTTCGATGTAGAATCGAAACGATTTTCTTCATAGCCGCACTTGTCATCTTGTTCAAAATATTGGTATAATCTGAAATTTTATTTCCAATTAAAACATGTTTTATAATATGTTTTGCATGAAATTATTTATGTTAATCAATTTTTTTAAGCTGTCAGAATAATATTATGATTCTATAAACTATTGGTGAGATTGATTGATATTGTTGAGATTACACAATATATACATATATATACAAGATATAGATATACAAGATGTTCTGCAACCATTTAACAATATTTAATACTTTAATATATTCTAGAGATAATTACAAAAAATAATTACAAAATAATCTATAATTACAAAAATAAATCTAATATAAAAATATTAAAAACATTAATACGATAATATTTACTCTCATTATATTTTGGTGTCATCGGTAGTATCACTTTTGTAGCAAAACTGCAAAAAAGATAAGCACTCTAAAATATTTTAAAATAATATTTCTTTATACAAATTTTTAAATAGATATAAATTTGACGTTTTTTAATTTGTTTAAAATTATAACAACTGTCGCTAAACTTTTAATATATATGAAGCTTTTGTATAAAAGCTTTTATTGTGTATATGCTTAAAAGACATACCCTTATTTTTACTATATATTAGTAATTTAAGTACTTGAAATAAGTGATTAATTGGACTTACTAATGATAAATTAATTCTATAAGGATAGAATAATCAGAAGAGATTCTTTTTTCACAATAAATTACAATTATATATAATATAAGACTATAATATATAATTACAATTATATATAATATAATTATATATAATATAATTATATATAATATAAGACTTGATACAACATGGATTAGCTCTTTTCCATTGAATAGTTCAGTGATTAAAGCAATTCTGAGATTAAAATGTATGCATACATAGCTACAGATTTTGATGCAAACTTTGTCACATGAGTTTAATATCATTATAATTACTCATAAGTCAAAAACTACTCTGATTTCCACATCATTTTCCTAAATCTTCAGATTTTTTAAGCTAATCTGCAAAATAAAACGTCATTGAAAGAGTATTGTATAATGGTTGCAGAATACTATATATGCACAGATCTCAAGTTCCTATAATTATTAATATATTTAACCACAAAAAATGGGTCAAATTTTAGCTTAATTTTTTGACATCTTTGAATTGCTAATTTGTAATTAGTAAAAAATCATAGTATTCAGATGAACCAACGTTTAAATTAAAGCTTGAACATTTTTTTATTAATGCAAAAGACCAGAATTGAATGATAAAAAATGTTATACAAAATGGCAGATGTTAAAGATAGACATTGAAAATGGAGAAAAATGTCTTTTTAAAATTTTTGTATAGCTCATTGGAATCGGCTCCTAGATACAAAAAATATGAGCTTTTAAGTTCATTATATATAATACCTTAACAAATCCATATTTAACAAATTTTTTTACAATTTTTTTATAAAGTTATACTGTTTTAAAAAATGTTGCAAAATAGACTTTTTTAGTAACATTTGCAATTTAGAAACAAACTATCATGAAAAATTTGTTCAAAAAAAAAATTAAAATGTAAACTTTAAATTTTATAACCTTTTTATCGATAATAAACAAAAAAATTATATCATTATAAATGTTTATTACCGGCAATTTTTTGTGTTTATTATTGGCAAAAAGATTAAAAATTTGAAGTTTATTTTTTAATATATCTTCAAAGTTTATATTTTAATTTGTTTTTCATGATAATTTGTGTGTGTGTGTATGTGTGTTATCTAAATTGCAGATTTTACAAGAAAATATCTGTTTTGCAACATTTTCTTCAAAACAGAGTATACTTAATTTTGTCAAAACAAAAAATTGTAGAAAAATGTTTAAAATATGGATTTGTTAGCAAAGTAATGAGCTTAAAACTCATATTTTTTATACCTGAGAGCCGATTCTTCTGAACTAAGCAAAAATTTAAAGAGACATTTTCCCCATTTTTTATGTCTATCTTTAACGTTCGATATTTTGTAAAACATTTATTATAATTCAATTTTAGTTTTTCTTCTTATCAGTGTTTACTGTTATCTAAATAAAATTATATAGATAATCATTTAGATAAAATCTTGGCGTCATCTTATCTTTATATAGATAATAAATGTATCATTTATACATATATATATACCTGCATCTTAGATGAAAAAAAGTATTATTTTCACGAAATTATCTAGAATAATATTCAGATAATTTGGTTTAAAGTCATAGCACAAAAGAATACTTAATTAGTAGAACTTCAGCAGTAATGGATAATTTATAAATAAAACTATAAATATATTTTTACATTTTTTATAACTGTATTTACATAAACGGTCTCAAAAAAATATTATCTGGAAGTTATCTAGATGCATCGCCATATAATTTTATCTTTTATTTAGATATATTTAAACGAATTTATCTTATCTAAAATGCATTTACATGTTTTTATTAAATCTTTATCTAGCTGATTTTAAATTCATCTAAGCACTGCGTGTTATTAAATGAAATGTTTGGGCTTTAATTTAAGCGTTGATTTATTTCAATATAATACTTTTTACTGAGTTATTAAATTCAAAGATGTCAAAAAATTGTGCTAAATTTGGTAGCCATTTATTTTGCGGGAGAGTGTCATACACACACACATACGCACACTCACACGTATACAAAACATAAAATTAATGCGTATTATAATATTAAATTTACCTATTGAATTATTGATGAAATGAAAATTGCTAATTGTATAAATAATAATGGAAGATTAATTGACACGTAGCCAGCAGAGTTATCTGAAATTAAATAGAACCATTTTTATTAGAATTCAAATATACATATATAATTACTTGAATATATAATAAATATACGTATATTTACATATTACATATATATATATATATATATATATATATATATATATTATAACCCAGATAGCCACAGTAATTATTATGACATTATTTTATCAAAATGCATCATTTGCCATCAAAATGATGCATCATTTACCATCAAAATGATGCATTTTGACATCAAAATGATGTCATAATAATTACTGTGGTTATCTGGGAATAAGATAATATATTTAAAAAAACTTTTCTCTTACCATCATTATTATCAGATTCTGATTTGTCTAAGGCTTGGATTTCCATTTTACGATGTAGCTTCGTTGTAGTAGTTGATGTAGTAGTAAACGTTCCTACATGACAAAAATATCATATTTATTCATTCAATGGAAGTAATGTTACCAATAAATAAATGATAAAATCATATTTTAGTAAATTACAAGTTATTTAACAACAAATAAATTAAAACTATATATATATTGTATATACATATGTATCTATAATTAAGTACCGTCCGTCTGTCTGTCTGTCTGTCTGACCGCGAACTACTTCCGCATTTGTGGACCAATTTTCATCAAATTGGTACCAAAATTTCGCAAATTTTCCGGGGAGGGTGATAATGATGATTGCTTGTAAGTTTTACGCCTCTACCCACGCACCCACCCACGCAAACGCATATTTATGGACCGATTTTTTTGAAATTGGTACCAAAATGTTGCAAATTTTTTGAAGATGGCGACGATGTGGTTTTTTTTAGTTTTATCCCACTCACACATCCACCCACGCATTCGCACATTTATTTACCGATTTTTTCGAAATTTGTACTAAAATTTTGTCGGGGATGGCCACTATATGATTTTTAAAAATTTTTACCACCCTATTCAATCACCCATGCACCCATCTACGCAGCCACCCACGCACCAACACATTTATAGACCGATTTTCTTGAAATTGATACCAAAATTTTGCATATTTTTCGGGGATCGCTACTATGTGTTTTTTTTAAGTTTTACACTACTACATACGCATCCACCCACGCATTCATACATTTATTGATTAATTTTCTCGAAATTGGATATCTATTTATATCTATATATACACAAGTTGCAAATTTTTTGGGCAGTGTGAGATGGTGATTTTTTTAATTAAAAAATTTTTTTTACTATAGAGGAGGCTATGTTTCCGCGAAAAAAATTTTTTGCAAATTTCTATACCAATGTGTTCAGAATGTTCCAATCGAGAAATCACATTTAAAAATAAAATTTTTGTATGTAAAACTTCCATCCACGCACTCACACATATTGATTTATTTTCGGTACCAAAATCTTGAAAATTTTTGGGGATGACGACGACAGACAGACAGACAGACGGACGGACAAATAGACAGACAAATAGATATTAAATATTATTAATAAGTATCATTAAATATTATATATCTTTGGTTTTGTAAAATAAAAAATTGTGTGAAAACTAATAAGAGCGGGGTCAGTGTTGGGTAAAAGCTTTGAGGCCCACGCGAAGCGCGGGCCAAAAAGCTAGTATATATATGTAAGTACCGTCTGTCTGTCTGTATGTCTGTATGACCGCAAACTACTTCCACATTTATGGACTGATTTTCATTAAATTGGTACCAAAATGTTGCAAATTTTTCGGGGGTGGTTGCTGTGTGGTTTTTTTAGTTTTTGCCCACTCACGCATACACTAACGCATATGCGCATTTATGGACCGATTTTCACGAAATTGGTACCAAAATTTCGCAAATTTTTCGGGGATGACTACTAGATGCTTTTTTTTATTTTACCATCCACCCACGCACTTACACATTTATTGGCATATTTTCACGAAATTGGTACCAAAATTTCACAAATTTTTCGAGGATGATTACTAGATGTTTTTTTTTAATTTTACACTCCCACCCATGCACCCACCCACACATTCACGTTTTAATTGATTGATTCTCTGGAAATCGGTACCAATATAGTGCCAATACTTATTGTTAGTAATAGAAATCGGTACTAGGCCATTACTTCGCCAGTAACTATTTTCCACTTGGGTATATTATGTATTGATTCCGAGAGCCGATACAATATTTTTAAATAAATTAAATTTTCAACTAAAATACAAATTTAAATTTCCTAGGCTAGTATATTAGACCTAAATGGCAGTGTATATACATAACATTTCAAATTTTTTGGATTAGCAAAAGTCAGCACGGATAGTAAATGTAAGAGAGAGAGTTTCAAGAATTAAATAAATTTTAGTAAACAAAAGAAGGAAGTCATAAACAAAGTTGTGGAATAAATGATTGTTACAAGGTTATATAATCTGAGATAAATACGAGTAGACAGATCAATAAATAATCAAATTTTAAAATCTATTGCTTGGCAGGCGTAGACTGAAAAACTAAAATCAAAATAACTTTTGCAGTCAAGGTATACCTGTATCCAAGGTCTTAAAATAGTTGACCAAAATCAAGGATTAGATTGGGATTGTCTTAAAAAAAGTTCTTATAAACATTAGTCCAAAAACCTCTCCTTCAGGTGTTACAACTCATTGATGGCTTCTACATATTGAATTGCCAAGTCCGCGTTGACAGTGACGACTTAATTCAAAAGAATAAAAATATAAGAATCTCTATATGTATTGTTTTATCGATAAAAGATGTACAATAATGAACGAAAATAACATAATTAACTAGCGATTTGAGGCCCGCGCGAAGCGCGGACCTCAAAGCTAATATTCCTCAAAGATTTTACTTTTTTTATAATTTATTTTTAGATATCAAATAGTTAAAATAAAGTCGCCAGTGATGAATAAAAATATAATTTATTAATTATTCGACCTGACTGGCCAATATAAATTGTTAATACGCAAAGTTTCGACCCTTGGGTACGGATCCTTATCAAGTGTTACTTTCAAGATGTCAATTAGAAAGATGTAGGATTACTAATGTATTAGTATTTAACAATTTGTATTGGCCAGTCAGGTCGAATGATTAATAGAAGTTATATTTTTATTTTTATTAGTTTTATTTATAGAGTTTATTATTAGTTTATCTATACTATTTATATAAAAACACAGTTTGTCAGTTGGATAGATTTGTATTATCGATGTTTAAGATTCATTTCAAATATAGACGTATTAAAATGAAATTTGAATAAATGATTGATTCTTTATCATCTTGGGAGTGTTAGACTGTGTTAAAATTTGTTCAGCTTTTAATGTCAATGTGTTCGAAATGTATTAAAAGGTCGAAATTTTAAGGATTTTATATATATTTTTCTGAGAAAAAAATTTTTATATATATTCTTCTGAGAAAATTCTTTTGATATTTTTTTGACATTAAACTGATTTAACTTTTGATTTTTTTGACAAAAACTTTTTTTGATGCATATTCACCCCTCAAAAATTTTTTTCTCAAAAGAATATTCTTACACAGCCGAATTTCGACATTTTTAATACATTTCGAATACATTGACATTAAAAGCTGAAAAACATTTTTTTGATGCATATTCACCCCCAAAAAAATTTTTTCAGAAGAACATATTACGCAGCCTATAACACCCCCAAGATTATAAAGAATCAATCCTTAAAATTTCATTTTAATCGGTCTACGTGTTTTAAAGATTATTGCGAGGACAAACAAACTGACAAACTCTGTATTTTTAAATAGTATACATATAATTATTTCGACTCGAGCTTCACGCGGGCTTCAAGACCTATATCTAACGTTTTTTTAAATATAATATTTTAAGTTAAGAGTTTAACAAGGCTCTGTAATATAAATATAAATTTAAAGTGTAAGACAGGCAATAAGAGCCAATCGCGGAAGACAGTGCGTTATCCCAACGAAACTAAATTTTTTCGTTAGAATTAAATATCTGTGCACAAGGCACCAAATTTTACTTGATCACAGCCAAGATTTTCAAATATGAAATAATCTCATATTTGAGATTTAATTTCAATAATCCTTTAACCCTCCTACGGAAATATAAATAAATGCAAGAGAATAATATATATTTTTAATATATTTTATATTTTTTATTTTTTATATTTTTTAAAATATTTTTTCGTGAGCTTAAAAGCTAGCTATACACACACACACACACACACATATATATATATATATATATATATATATATATATATACATATATACAAATACCGTCTGTCTGTCTGACCGCGAACTACTCCTTAATTAATGGACCGATTTTCTCGAAAATGGTACCAAAATACGGTTGCAAATTTTTCGAGGTGAAAGCTTTTAGCTTGATATCTCAAAATTTAGGAAAACTAGAAAATGTGTATTTTTTAGAAATTAAAATTTTATAAAAATCAAAATTTTTCATCGATCATCACAAAACTCAATACCAAACATTATTTATTAATAACTTATTTACGTAAAAAAAATTACTCAAATATCTTAAAATTTATTAAAATTAGAACAATTAAAAACGTTTCTTAAAAATTCAAAATTAAAAAAATGAATTCTTTCATTGATTCTCATCAAATTCAATACCAACCAACTTTCAATGCTAATCTATTTATACAAAACAATTGATCCCGATATCTTAAAATTTACCAAAGTTAGAGCAACAGACATTTCTCGAAAAATTAAAAATTTTAATATAAATAAAATACTATATAAATTTTTATAAAAAAGTGTTGTACTACTTTACTTGTATGCTAATTTTAAGCGCTGTAAATCAAATACTTCTTGAGACATTTACATTTTAAATGTACACATACATGCATTCATACACACAAAATTAAAAAAAATAAAAATAAAAGTTTGAAAAAGTTACTTTCTGATGTTTTGGAGCATTTTGAACACACTGGCATAGAAATCCGAAAAAAAAAATTTTACGAAAACAGTGCTTTCTAAAATAAAAAAATTTTAACATTTTAAAAATACATAGTGGCCTATCCTGAAAAATTTGCATATTTTGATACCAATTTCGAGAAAATTGGTCCATAAATGCGCACGCACGTAAGTGGGTGCGTCGGTGGGGGTGTAAAACTTAAAACAATTGCCATCGTTGTCATCCCCGAAAAATTTGCAAAATTCTGGTACCAATTTCGAGGGAATCGGTCCATTAATGAGAGAGTGCGTGGGTGGGTGGATAGGTTTGTACAAATTAAAAAAAATCATATAGTGCCATTTTCGACAAATTTAGAAAACTTTGGTATTGATTTCGAAAAAATCGATCAATTAATGTGTGAATACGTGGGTGGGTGGGGATGTAAAACTTAAAAAAACTACATCGTCGCCATCTCCGAAAAATTTGCAACATTTTGGTATCAATTAAAAAAAATCGGTTCATAAATATGCGATTGCGGGGTGGGTGTGCGTGGGTGGGTG